CAAGCACTAAAACTTGGGTTTTAACAAAGGCTGTGGCACAGCTATTGAAGATTAAGGAGAGGAATTAAGTTGGGTGTGTTTGTTCTATCCCCTTCACGTTTGTCTATAATGCCCTTGTCATCATGAGAGTGGGGTTAATCAGATTACATTTTAGGTTGCAAAGCTGGAGCTTGCGATATAATGAACATTATGTCCTGGCGTGTTGATTATCAGCCATGTCATCACAAAAGCCTGTTGTACACCAGCTGGAACTGCTCTTTATCCTCTCACGTCCCTCAAGTGTGACCTGAAACTTAATTAAAGTTCTGTTTGGCATTAAAATAAGTAAAACGTGGTACAATAGGTATTTAAGTTAATTGCAAGGCAGTGCAATAGAGCTGGGCGATATGAGATTTATTCATATCACGATATTTTTTTTTTCATTTCAGGCGATAACGATATCTATCACGATATAAGCCAAATAACTATATTTGTAAGATTTAAATGTGCCGTTGCTCACAAGTAAAATGTGAAATAATCAGCAGCTTGTTTTTATTTAAATATTTATTTCCCATAATAAGTTCAACAGGGTAGATGTACTTAAGGAACATGAGACTTTTTCAGATAAATAAAGACAAATATTGCAAACTACACAAAAGGCAGCCGCTAAAGCGTTTAAGTTTCAAAATAGAACAAACGAAACAGACTAAATTGTCAATTCCACTTAGAAACAAAATATTAATTCTAAAAATAAATCTTAGTTTGTTTTACAGAAGAACAGACAAAACTGACTAACTTTTGTCAATATCAAATAAACTGAGATTTAAAAGGAAATTCTCAATCTCTCCTTGTTGTATAGCTTAGCTTTTCAAACAGTTTTAACAGTTACTTTAGTCTGACAAAAGCCGAATGACGAATTAGCGCTTCCAGTCAGAGACTGAGGCTACGTCCACACGTACACGGGTATTTTTGAAAACGGAGATTTTCCGTTTTCATTTTAAAAATAATCCCGTCCACACATAAAGGCAGAAATGAAGGAAAACGCTGCTATGAACATGCCAAAGCAGCAGGTGGCGCTAGATTCCTAACCGTGCAGAAATGTTGGCCAATCAGAAGTCTAGAAGCCTCGGTGGGAAAAAGTAAACAAAGCTGGGGCATAGAAGCAGAACCGAGTCGTATGTGTGGAGGGACAGTAACTGTGTGTATATGTAAGCATTTAAACACTGCAGAGAGTAGAATTAACAGTATTGTAGAAATTCATTTCACCGAAACAATAACGTGGCGCACAGTGTGACGCATGCACCAGTTTATTGTATTTCCAGACTTGCTTTCGGCACAATTTACAGTGCAGCTACTCTGTTTTTTGTCAGACTTGAAATAGCCGAAATACCTTCACACTACGGAACTTCTATGGCTCTTCCGTTCGACAATCTCTCCGGCGTTGGAACCATCATCTGTTTTCTCTTCGGTCACGCTCGGTTGATTTTTCTAGTCGGCACACTCATTTCCTCCATTACCCGCTGGCTCCATTACCCGCTGGCTGCTTCCCAAACAAACACACGTGCGGCTTGGCACTTGTGCTGTACGTAACAAGTCACGCAACGTGACGCTGCGGCTGTGATTGATTCGGCTCTGCGCTACTTAATTTGGATCGGCTGACCTTTATTTTTTTTTATTTATTTATTTTTTTTAGAGGACAAGAGCGGCGAGGTCTATCGCGATAGCTTAATTTCTCTATCGAGTAAAAGTTATATCGCGATACATATCGTTATCGTTCTATTGCCCAGCTCTACAGTGCAATCATAAAAATGCACGCGAGGTTGTTCCTCACAAACATTGCTCCCTTGGGGTAAAATTCACACTTTTATGGTGTAGGGAGTTTAAAACGTCCTTTCACGTGCGATATGACCAAAATCTCATATCCCGATATAAGACCTCTATCGTCTCAATAACGTAATAATATAAATCACAAAAATTTAACATTTTCTGTAAATTCTGTGAATCTCGGGCATCTCGACTTGTGTGAAGTGTTTCCAGCTGGGCTTCGTGTACCTGGAATTTTTAACCGATGCATGAAACGATATTTATTTTGGTTATAAGTTGTAACGGCCGCCGTTTTCGTTGTGAGTATTTATTACACAGCGTGCTGCGGGGAAAAGTCTGTTCTAACGTTTGAGTCTAATGTTTATTTTTTAGCACCTGACTAGGGCTCTGGGTATCGTCACTGATTTCTAGAATCGATTCCGATTGACAAGGTCCTGAATCAATTCGATCCACGATTCGATTTCATTTGAATCTGGGAAATTTTGCCTCAGACAGTCAGAAATATTATAATTCAGATCAGTATATTTACATATTTTTGTATCTATAAAAAGGAAGCTGACACTTTTGAGACTTTATCAAAGGTGTGAGCATCACAGCAGAGGCCTTTGTGTCAAAGTAGCTGAAGATAAAACACAGAAAAACATGAAGGCGATTTTCCTGGCCTGGGATTTTATAAAAATGTTCTGTAGTAGATCAAAAACAAAAGAAAACCATTAATCAACTTATGAACATTAGCTCTGAAGTAGGGCTGAACGATTATGGAAAATAATCTAATTGCGATTTTTTGCCCCAATATTGCGATTGCGATGCGATATGCGATTATTTTTTAAGGTCTTTGTCTTCTGTATTATTAAACAAAGACAAGCAATACATCATATAGTATGGCCAATACTATATTACATTAATTTTAAACTGTTCTTTCCTGGAAGACAGACCTCTGTTATGATGACATGAGGTGATGCATGAATTGATGACTGACATTTTTATTTAACTTCTTCAATCACAACAGTATATTTGAACATACACAATAGTTTATTTTTAGCTTACAAACATCTGAGCATAAAGTGCTGACAAGGAACCCTGGTGTAAACATTAAAATGAAAGTCAGTACAATGTGCAGATTGCAGAAATATACATAAACAAAATCAGTGGCTTTACCACACTCAGTTTTTCGACATCTGTGAACTACTAGACAGTCATTCAATTAAAAAATAATATTAAATCAATAAAACTAATAAATAAAAAATACACACATCTTACTGATCTCTGCAGTCAGTAACATTACACATAAAGTGCAAACATAATAGCAATTGTATAAACACACACACAAACACGCCTTTAAAGTTTAAAGGCGTGAAATTGGACGGTCTAGTTCTGATTAGCGTCACCGCTGTCTCGGTGGAGTTTAATAAACTCGGCCGTCTGCTTCTTGCTATCTAAAATATAACCAGACACTGGTGTAAATTCTCGACTGTCTCATACTTCTGTTTAATAAGTTTTCTGTTTGACGTTTAGTCAGCTGTGTGAAAACCAAGGAGGAACCCACCCGGGGGATTAATAAAGTTTTATTTTATCTAATCTAATAACTTTAATCTCAGCCAAACCGATTTACTCACGAACAAACAAAACACTGAAAAAAGCCCAACAATAACATTTTTAGGTTGTCTAAGTGACTTATATATCACGTTTAACCCGAGCAGCGAAACTCCGCGGTGATCTGAAAATGATGTGCCGGGAGTTGTGCCGCTCTCGGCCGCATCAGTAACCCTCGAGCTCCCGGCTAGCTGTCGAGCTGGTGGGTAGCAGACGCCTCTGAAAACGTCGAAGCACTTTTGCAAATATGGGATATCTTGATAAACCGAGCAGATATTTGATGTTTACACAACTACTTTCTCGCCTGAAAATATGTTAAAAGTTTATTTTGTGACCCAGAAAGATTAGTATGAGTAATTTTAAAACTTAGTAGCGGCCGCCATTGCTGGAAACTGGAGTTTGGCTGGGCCGCGCTATGAATTCTGGGATATGGTAGTAATTTGGACAGCCTTCGGCACGTCGCTGTGACGTAATCGGTCTACAAATGCGGCCTCAGGAGGATGCAGCCCATGAATTTGGACATGTCCAGAGTATAATCGCAGCCTTTGCGGTTAGAAAATTGCACTTGATCATGTCGCGATATTATCGCAAATGCGATATATCGTTCAGCCCTACTCTGAAGTTACAGCGGTTTTATTAGAGACAAATTTAAATTTGTTTAGAAGCCTATTGAACGGCAGAAATTAGGTTTTCTTTTCGGAAGTAAGTAAAAGGAAAAAAAAAAACAGCGGCCGACAGCCTGTAAACAATGGTAGACTTGTGCGTAACAAGCAAACGAATAATGCAGAAAACAGATTTCAGGGATAGACGGGAAACTGTTCTTGAAGTATACTGAGAGAGAGAGCTGTGCATGAAGTGTGATTTTATTGTGGTGGAAGCAAAACAGCAAAAGTCAGAGTGAGTCCATGACGATGTTTATGTGAAGCTTAGTTTGGATCTTCTTTTGCTGCTGGTTTGGTCAATATTGTTTGGAGAGAGATAAAAACTAACAGCTTTAGGCAAAAAGGGCGTAAACACAAAGCGCGGACCCGCCGAAACATCAGAATCAGCGAGCTGTCGGCTTTCAGCCCCGACCGTGTCCGTGCCGTCGGGGGAGAAAGGCGACGTCTCACTGATTGTGATCCGCGGGCCCGCGCTTTGTGTTTACGTCTTTGTGCAGAAGCCACCTGCTCACAGTTACTGTTTTAAATGTTTGGTGGTTGTCAAAATTTTGTGACGTTTCACCTGAGATTCTGGAATCTCCGCAAAATACATTTATATAAAAATATCGATTCAGGATTTTAATGAATCGATATCACGTTATCCAAGCCAGAATCGATGAATCGATTATTAAAACCCACCCCTACACCTGACGTCTCTTTTTTGCTTCTCATCCGTAAACACTCTGCATACTCTTTCATGTTTCAGTTTATTTTGAAAAGTCTCAACAGGATCTTGAGCTTTATTGTGAAAGGTTTATGTTCGAACAGCCCTAGTTTTACATTTATCTCATTTACAGGAAAACTTTTTCTGTGCCAAAAAAAGCAACTTTTGATGCAGTCACCTGTACGCACGCATACCTACACAAACCGATGTGTGAACACTCTTCCTTTCTTCTCTTTTAGGAACCTATAAAATCCAGGGCGCCGCAGCTCCATTTGGAGTATAGATTTTACAAACAGTTGGGGAATTCAGGTAAGAGACTTCACTTTGTATTTTCTTTTTCTGTATTTATTTTTTCCCTCTAATAGGTGGGAGTTGAATATGAATGGACATTTTCACACTAGATTTACCTGTGCTGCAAGTGAAACCTTACGCAGAAAGACAATCATGAGCACCTGTGAAGATGGGTGATTAATTGAGTTTAATCGTTAGTTAGGATTTTGGTCACTGCAGGTTATGAAACAATGCTCTTGTTTTGTCTTGTTTTATAAGTCCAGTGCACCAATTTTTCTTTAGTGATTTACTTTCACCACCTGCTACTAAGGACACTCACTGCAAGTCGAGATATTGGAAGTGTAAACAATATATAGCTTCTACCTTTGCTCGCTTCTTCCTTAGGAAATAGAAATCATGTCATGGTGTCATAACTATGAACCTGCAGCGGCTCTTCCAAGGCTTGTGAGGTCTGGGCCTCTTCTTGCTCTAGTTTGCAGCTGCAGGCTTCGTGGTGGTGACTGGTGGTTGCACCTGCATGATAGGCTTCACCATCAGCTCTCACCCTCCAACCCCACCTGGTTAAAGTTCTCTTCTCCTCTGTCTTTGTCATCCTACATATGTGGCTGGTCTCTAGCTACACTCATAAATGTGTAATGTGTCTGTCTCAGACACTGTATTCAGGATGTTGGGCAACACGGTGGCTTCTGCAATCCAGCGCTCGCTCCTATGTATTTTGAGTGGACTGGTTCTAAGTTTATGAGAATGCATCAATTTGTTGGAAGACCTAATTACACACCAATCAATGTATATTTATAAGTACAACATTTTTTCAGTTAAACTGAAAAAGACCGACTGTACCTATTTAAATGAAGCTTACTTGGTCGTTTGTGTGTGCTATTCTAAATCTACTCCAAGTGCTCCTGTTGTTGCAGTGATTCTCGTCTGTTTGTCAAGTAAAGTGCATGTGTCCTGGTCTAATTTAGTGACACGTGCCTGCTTCTTGGCTCCTTGTGCCAGAGCAAAAACCCTCCACTGTTGATACGGAGGTGGGGCATTAGGGCAGTCCTTGGCTATTTATAGCTGGCCCTCTACAAGCATTTGGGCCATTATGGTGTCTGCTTGGATAGCTTCCCTAGTCTCCTTAGTCACGATATCCTCTGCCTCTCTGTGCGCTGCCTGTACACTGTAGGGAAACGCTCCAAGGTGTGTTGACAGGGTGTGGCTTGTTTGTCTGGATGGCACTCTTTGGTGTAATCTCTTCATTTGACATTCACATTTAGTCAACCATAACTGTACCTGTCACCTCCAGTGCCACTTTCCTTTTTTATAGCAGAGGATTCCTGCAGTACAAGCCTGTTTCCCTTGCATTCTTCCTTTCAGTGAGACCACTATTGGTCTTTAGCTTTATTTATATATGTGTGTGTGTGTGTGTGTGTGTGTGTGTGTGTGTGTGTGTGTGTGTGTGTGTGTGTGTGTGTGTGTGTGTGTGTGTGTGTGAATGCACCTGCTTAGCTCTGATATTGTCTTTACTCAAACTGATTTTGGGCGAAGACACACAATTGTCCCTATCCACTTGAATTCAGCACCGATACTAAGTGTGGAGTTAAGCGATGCAAAAACATATCCTCTCCATTCCTCTGTTTGTTGTTCAGTAGCCATCCCTCAGGGGTGCTAAAAACCAACAAGTGATCATTGGCCTTTTTAAAGTATCCCTGATGTGGCTCACAGCCATTAATCCCACACATGGCACTGTTGGGCTGTTTTAGTCCTCCCCTGTCACTCACCGGGACAACAAGCCAAAGAAGCCCAGAGTATCACACCGCTTTGGCTTGCCTTCTTCCCAAACTGCTGGAACCACGAGCAACCACACACGCACCTGGGTGTGCACAAGAATGGTATGCGTCATGAGACCAGGCAATCTTCCTTCCACTTCCTGTCCAGTTTTGATTCACACATGCCCATTGTGAGCATGGGGCGTTGGACAGGGTCAGCATGGACACTGAGTGACTGCAGACTTCCATACGCAGCAAACTGTGATGTACTTTGTGTTCGGATAGCTTTCACTGAGTAAAATTAGGATTCTCAGCAGTTTGTACTGCAGTAGCACTGCTGTAACAAGCACAAGCCAGCTTTCCCTGAACTCCTGCACTTTCTGTTTTTTCTTCCACCACATTATCCTTTGAACACTGACTGCCTAATAGTCAGGTGCCAGTGTAATTGGATAATCAAGGTTGTTCACTTGAACTGTCAGTGGTTTAATTTGTTTTAGGTTGAAGTATATTATGTTCCTGTTCTAAACAGGTTCAGTAATAGTGATTTGCTCCGACCTGTGCCAGATGTCTTTTGTGTTAATCTTTTGCAAGCGGAAGCATACACACATGAGTAATTTCTGTGGCAAGGCTCATTTATTTTAAATAAATGAAGCGATCTGGCTGCTTTCTGACATTAAGAGATGTTCACATTCAACAGGTGGCTACATAATATTGTCAAGTTTTGCAAACTGTGTGTAAATCAAGGAAAATAATGGGGAATATCTGACTCTATCAAAATTTGATTCATTCTTTTGCTACTTGCACAACACTTTAGAGCTGCAGTATTAGAGCTGAGCAGAGAGGCCTCATCTCCAGCTGGTGACTGACCACTACATGGTGATATGTCAGGAAGGCTCACTTGACCGTCTAGCATGGGAGGAATCAAGGCGATAGATTAAATCTATTTATGTTGTCAACTTGGCTTAATGGGGACATGTGACCCTGTTAGTCCTGCCCAACCGGAGAACCTCAAATATGTCACAGCACGGACTACTCAGCGCTTAACGCCCAGGAGGAGCTTATCTGCACACTATTAATTCTCTCTTGTCCTGAACAGATCCCCGCTGTTGGGAATCCTGTCTCCCACTTTGCAGATTTTTGTGAACATTTAGAATGGATCTGTTATTGCAGTTGCTGCTGCTGCCAGTAGCAAAACAAGTCATTGACATATCCTTTTAGAAGAAGTCTAATGCTACCAATCGTTCACTTTACCACTGTCAGGGGACTGGCTTCAGTTTATAGAGAGTAGGTATCATTTAATGGCATTTTATAGCCATGTAGCTCTTCGAGTCATCTCATCACGCCTGCATGGATGTTATGTAATTAGGGTCATTTGTATGGAGGTCTCCTCTCGAATATTGTGGCTGTTAATATTCAGAATCATGAAGGCTTTCAGTGGCATGACGCGGCACGTTGATAATGTTTTCTGCAAATCATTGAGGCTCATCCACCCACCTGCTGTGACCCTGGAAAATCATGTGCTTTTATATATTTACTGCTGCTGGTATTATTCAAAGTTGGACTGATAAGATTATTTTAACAACTGTGTCCTTAAGCTGTGGTGTCATCGGGCCACACATGCTTCTGCGGAGGTTAAAATCTAAAGTTATCAGATATAATTAATAATTAACTTACGCCCAAACTCAACAAAAGTATTGCTGCTTGATCCTCAAGCTGCTGGTTTTTAACCTGACTACATCTTCGGAGATTGTTGTGCTTTTAAGCTGTGTTGCATTTTTAGCTTCCGGCTCAGTCTTTGAAAGCTCGAATGCTGATCATATTTCAACTTTGTGAGAACCTCTTCAGAGCAGTGAACCTAATGGAAGTCTCTACTTCTCCTGCTCTCTCCTCAATATACTCGACTCTCTAATCTAAATCTTTAATATGGATTCCTTCTCCTCTACCCTCCTCTTTGACGCTGCCCCCTCTCCCCCAGACTTCTCCTCTTTGGCCCTTAAGGCTGACATTTCATTGTAGGCCAACATTGTGTTCGACTAGCATGATGCCGCCTTCCCTCTTGCTGTGTCGCCTGAGAAGGACTGCCTGCACATACAATTGGGTGAATTGTCTGAAATTGTCAAGACAGCAAGGGTCAGAGCGCCACTGACGCAGGCTTGCAGTGAAAGCCAGAGCTTTTCCCACAATGCTGAACACACAGTTTATATTTTTGTACGACTTTATGTTACGGTTAGAATTACAGCCATTTATCCTGGTCGGGGCGTTTCAGTTTGCTTTGTGTGTTGTTGAAGGATCCTTGTTTTGTCGTTATGCTTGAGACAATATCCTCTTTTGCACAGCTATTGTTGTGTCATGGTCTATATTACATTTTTGACAAAAATCACCTCATTTACTCCCAGCTGGTCCCATCAGTCATTTTTAGACTAGTTCTCGCAGCTGCTCTGTGTACAAGCTTTGCTCACCCGCAGAAGATTACGATACACACTGCACTCTCCTCTCGTGATGAGTTGAATGCCCTCTAGATTTGGGCCAAGCTTTGACGAGCAGGCCTCCGAGTGATCTCTCATCACTGCCTCATCTGTGGTATTAGACCACAGACATGCGTTTAATTGGTGATTCCAAACTGGCTGTTGGTTTGGATGCATGTTGGATAAAACACTAACATGCAAAGAATAGAGTCTTTGGTGTTTATGTTTCAAGTTTAAATATTTTTTTAAAAAAAGTCAATGTGGCTTTTAGTATAAAATGTTTTTAGTGGTCAGCAAGAGTATAATGGTGCTCTATAAATGTCAATACAGTCCATTCCATCATCACCAGTGAAATCCTAGAGGCTAAAGTGCAGACGGACGTGCTTGTTTGTGTGTATGCGTGTGCATGGATGCACTGGGGTCCTGTTGCAATGTTAAACTACCATCAAGGCAATTAGGGCTGCCACAAACGATTATTTTGATAGTCGACTAGTCACCGATTATTTTTGCGATTAGTCGACTAATCAGATCATCATCCATTGGACGTACAGCTTATTGCACCAGCAGCATCTGCTCTTATATAACTATCATTAGCTTACAGCTTGAAGTGTTTGTGCTAACTAAAAATAAAGACAAGATGGTAGTTTATTAATTTTTAATGAAATTTGCAGATTGTTTCGGTGAAGTTTAATAAACTCCTTGCTTTCTAAAATATAACAGGACACCGGAGTAAATTCTCCAGCGTCTCACACTTCTGATAATCAGCTGTCTGCTTGACAGTTTTAGCGGTGCAAAAACTATAACTTTAATCTCAGCCAAACCGATTTACTCAGGAACAAATAAAATACAAAAAAAGCCAAACAATAACATTTTTAAGTTATCTAAGTGACTCATATATATGTTTAACCTGACTAGCGAAAGACGGCGGTGGGTTTGAAAACGATTTGCCGGGAGTCCGGTGTTCTCACCGCTCTAGTGACCTTGCCCCCGGCTAACTATCGAGCTAGTGGGTAACAGACGTCTCCGAAAACGTCGGAGCGCTTTTGAAAATATGCGGTGTCTTGATAAACTGAGCAGATATTTGAGGTTTACACAGCTACATTCTCGCCTGAAAATATGTTAAATGTTTATTTTGTGACCCAGAAAGAATAATAAGAGTAAAGTTAAAACTAACTAGCTGCCGCCATTGTTGACAACTGCGCTGGGCTGCGCTATGAATTCTGGGACACAGCTTCTTCTTCTTCGGGGTTTAACGGCAGCTGGCATCCTTGTACATGCAGTGCTGCCATCTTCTGTTTCAGTCCGTTATTACACTCTTAAATCCTACTACTCATTCCTGCGTCTTTTGTGATCTTACAAAGCTTCAAACGATGCGTCAACTATTAAATTAGTCGTCGACGATTTTAATAGTCGACATAATCGTGACTAGTCGACTAATCGTGGCAGCCCTAAAGGCAATGCAGAGTTGTGCCCACTCTAAGCATGTTCCTGGCAACTGATTTACTAGCTGTTATTTAAATGGGAGAGAAATACGTGACTAGTCCTAATGTCAGATCCTTAGCTCTTTAAACAACTCTGTCATCTCTGTCTCACTGTAGTTCCTTCTTAGATTTGTATGTTAGAGCTTGATCATTCTTTTAGTATTTTACTCTTTATTTTTATGCAAATCTGGTGGGAAGATCACTGTTGTGGTTTAAAGGCATATTTTAATGGATGGATCCTCAGCTCTGTTCAGCAACGTTCACCAAATTCAAAGTGAAGGAGAAACAACAGCATTAAATCCTGAAACACACATGTGCGAATCTGTACGTCAGTCCTGTGCACAGCTTTGCAGACCATCGCCTACATTTTGTAGCTGTTTACCGCCCCGTCAGACATGTGTCAAACAATCATTCTGTGGGTGGCTCTTCCACACTGCAGAGTACTGTAGTTATAACCTATAAGAGAACTGATATCTATGTTTATTTTCCATTTGGTCATCTCTGCTGTCACTCCCTTTCCTTTTCAGCAAATCAGCATTTAATCTATGCACAGCATCGTCCCTGTAGGTTTTTAGAAGTCTGGACACAAGCACATTTGTGTAGGTCGCATACCTGTGATCTTTCTCTCTGCGTAGTCAAATAGCTATGCAAATGGACACAAATGTGGTACCATGAATTGATCATTAAGCTGCAAACTTTGTAGCTTTGGCTCAAAAGCCCTGCTCATGACTACAAAAAGGTTATAAGACTGGAAAAGAAAATCTGTTCAGATAAGCAAGTCTGTTCTTGTGCTTTTGTAATAAATAAATAAACAAATAGGAAAATGAGTATATTGTTAACCCAAATTTTAGCCCACACAAAGAAGCCTAATGTTCAATCACTAAAACAAATTTTTCATCTTAGCAATGCAAGTAAAGACCTGTAATTTGGTATCTTAGTGAAAAAAAACAAAACAGGTACACTTAACTTTTTTTTTTTTTAACTTTTTTTGTATAATGGTCAATTTGAAAATTCACAAATAAGAACAATAATTATATTTAGGATTAAAAATATAATTTTGGTGAAAGAGCTTGTGCATGATGGTGGATTAACCACTATAAAGAAATGATAAATCTGGATCCTCCCTGGTCTCAGTTGTTGTCGTCGTCAGAATAAAGCGTGTGGAAACCGCAGCCTCAGGCCAAAATACTTTACTGTGTAACATTTACACAAACTGCAGTTGATTTTAAGAGATTTGAATCTTTCCTGGTGGTTTTCAGATGCACTTGTATTTTTGAAAAATGAAGCAAGACTTTACTGTTCCTGATTATTCCAGGGGAGGGGGTGTTTTCGTAACAGTTTTGCCACGCCCCCAGAAGTTCCACTGTCAAAACGCTGATATATTTAAAGAAGGTAAATACTGCCGGGTTGATCCTTCCACATTCTTTAGAAGTCGTCCTATACACAGACTATGATGGGTGTGGCAGCTTCTGGTAACAAAGGCTTTGTACAGTTGTTGGTTGGGCGCTGACACCTTTCCCTTTAATCCTGCTTCAGAGGACAAAGAAAGCACTAAGCCACTCCTGTTTCTGAAAAACCTGTTGAGGAAATAAAAGTTTGCCCCACTCTTTCTTATCAACAAACCAGCACCATAATTCAGCACACAAAGCACTTTGTTAATTAACAATTAAGCACTTAATTTATGTTAACACTTAAAACATCGTGTTTTCACTGCTGTTGTTTACAGTTGTTGTGATTGACTACAACACTGACAGCATGTGCTGGCCTACCAGGAACCAATGGTGTAACAAACTCTGACTTAGTAACACAGTGAAAATAAAAGTCTCAAAAGTGATTATGCAAAGCCGATTATCAATAACTGTGTTTCAGTCAATTAATTTATAAGGCAAAATCTAAAAAGTCTCACTAACTTTGTTATTGTGTCTCCACAGAGGGAATCCCTCAGGTGTACTACTTTGGTCCTTGTGGGAAATACAATGCCATGGTGCTGGAGCTGCTTGGGCCCAGTCTAGAGGACCTGTTTGACCTCTGTGACCGCACCTTCTCCCTCAAGACCGTCCTCATGATAGCCATACAGCTGGTAAGGCCTAAAGTGGGAGAGGAGTGAGCATATGTTCAGAGGAGCTTGCTTTGGTGACATCAGGCTTCCCAGAAAGTTATTCATAGTGCAACTGTGAATACAAATGTTGTCGTTAGCGGCTTGTTCCAGAGGGCAGGTTTACTGACCCCTCAACCTGACTTTGAACTCAGTGGGTAAATACCAGAAAGTCTGAATTTTAGTTTATTAAAGTGTTTGCCTGGAAGATGGCTCCATTATCACTGCAGCTAGAAACAGAGTAGAGACGAGTACCAAGTTCTGTAGTATCTAGTTCCAAACTTACTTTGTGTTTGAATTCGGTGTTAAAATCTTAGTCGATATAAGATGACAGTGGTAAGATATTACATGAGCATCATCAGCCACAACATGAGAGTATGAGAGAAGCCTGTGCATGTAGCATTTACTCTTTTTTTTCATTCAAATTAAAAAAAAAAAATTGAGTAAACATACATGTGCTTGGGTTTGGGATGTTTTCATGTTCTAAGCCTCTGCTGAGGTGGACATGCTTGCTGTGCTGTTGCAGTTTTGTCTTTGGTTTGGCTGCCGTTAACATTTTTAATGGGCAGGCTTTCTTTTTATCGCGTTTTGCATAAACTGCTTTGAGTTTTCATGTTTGGAAACTGTTCAGCTTGCAAAGCGATTAAAACTTCAAATGCTAACACCGATCGTTCACCTAGATAACACGGATGGAGTATGTCCACACCAAGAGTCTGATCTACAGAGACGTGAAGCCTGAAAACTTTCTTGTTGGGCGGCCAGGAAGCAAGAGGCAGCACACCATCCACATCATTGACTTTGGTCTGGCCAAAGAATACATAGACCCCGAGACCAAAAAACACATCCCCTATCGGGAGCACAAGAGTCTGACTGGGACGGCACGCTACATGAGCATTAACACACACCTGGGAAAGGGTAAGAAAGTCTCAGGAATACACCTGTGGGTTGATTAGCTGTCTACATTTGCATATGCAAACTTTATTTGCATGAATATTTAGTATAATGTGAATGTCCTAACTGGTTTGCTCACAAATGCAGCATTGCAAACAAATGGCATTAACCTGATTTTTACATACTGTTATCTGTTTAGTCACTGGGTGTTACCTGAATGTTGGTGATATGCGAGATAACCAGGGATGCTTTAGGATTGTTAAATGAATCATATTTTTCTGATGTCTTGTTTCGTTTCTGGGTTATTTTGAAGCATTTTAACCAGTAACCTCATAGTCCTGTAGCACAAAGCAGCATTACGGGCCTAGCATGGTAACTGTAGGTTTAAACCAGAGTTTTCCGTGTTACAAACGTGGTCATTTCTACAGAAGAGTTGAAAACAAAAATAGCCATGACGTCAATAAAAAAAATTGACGATATGTTTGTGCTTTTAGAAAGTTATTAGCCTCTGTAAAATCTGCTGCTAGTACTCTTGTCCTCTTTTGGGCACATGCTGCCAGCAATGCCTGTTTTATATAAATATGTGAATGGATTGTTAAACCCTGGACTGGCTGGTGGTTATCGCATTGATAACAACCTTCATGTGACCGCCTAGCGTGATTGCCATTGTTGGTGTACATGAAGCCTGATAAGGATAGATCTCAGTGTGTTGAACTTGAACATTGATCGGTTTGTTGCCTTAATCAGTAGTTGCCGTGAGAAGCTCAGTCTGCTGCTTCTTCGTGACGCACGATTGGCCATCTTCATGTTGAGGCTCGATAAGATGTTTTTAAGACGGGAACAGTGGACTCGTGCTTTGTTTCTTTGAAGCCACTGTTAGTCTTGCCAGCTGGTTATAAAATGCATTTGTTTATCACAGCTAACCTCATTTTCATCCTGATCTTGTACTTCCAGAACAAAGCAGAAGGGACGATTTGGAGGCCTTGGGTCACATGTTCATGTACTTCCTTCGAGGCAGCCTTCCCTGGCAAGGCCTAAAGGTACTGCAGCAATTTGCCTCATGCTGATATAACGCTTGTCTTGTAATCCACTCGATGCGTGGCGTAGCGGTTTCTTTTTTGATACTTGACGCCCACTCAACTTTAGCATCCTCTCAGACTGGTGACATTTTAAGGTCTCTCTTTTTAGAAACTGAAACACTGAGAAACAGTTAAATTGGCACAGTTGGATACTTAAAATATTGTCTCTTTATTTTTCTGTTGAATTTACACACCTTTTTCTGCACAAACAATCAGATGCGACAGGAAACCACCTTCTGCACCTTGTTTTGCAGCTTAAGAGCTGTGAGAAAAAGCTTACATGACTAAGGAGCACGGCCACAGTCGCAGGTGTCTCAAGGGCCGGTTTCAGCAGGCTGCAGAGCTGCTGTGGTTGCTTTTTGAAGGCATCGGTATCAAAGGTGTACACAGAACAGACTAGAAGACAAGACAACTCATCTGAACATTTGCTATGTGGGTGGAAGCTCTTGGTGGATGAATGTGAGGGATGTATAAATGTGGGGGATGTTGGATAGCTCTGGCCAACACAAACACACAACAGGAGAGTGAGCTTGAAAATCCGCTGAAGCTTATCGATCAATATATTGGCAGCTAAGGAACTCGCACAGAGTTGTGCTGACCCCCTGTATGGAGTGTAAAACTATACCACCCTGAAGGGTTGGAGGGGATCTGGTTGGTTTAGAGCAGAAGAACATCCCATCATGTGTGATAGAAAATTAAATAACAGCTGAGAAGCCTTTCCTGTGCCAGTGAGGAGGTCAGCGACAGGTTGCCCTAGATTTGTGGGATTTCTTTCCCCACACCAACAGATATCTACAGCTGAGACGATGTTGCAAAGTGCTGATATCGACATGACATGTGGCAAAACTTCTGTGAGTCCAAAGAGCCGCGGCACAAATGCAGGCGCTGCACATGTGATATCACGACTTGAGAATCTGTCTGTTTTGAATATTGGACATGTTCATGGACGCCTCAAGCAGCAGCACATGTGCTCATATTTAGATTAGAGTAGGATTTATAGTACAGTAAACATTTAAACTTGTTTCCCCTGCAGGCCGACACCCTGAAGGAGAGGTATCAGAAAATTGGAGACACCAAGCGAGCAACGCCGATTGAAGTCCTTTGTGAAAGTTTCCCTGGTCAGTAGAGCGCTATTTTCCTCCTTTCGGGTTTATTTATTTTAAATGAAAGTGGTGTGGATTTCACAGTATATATCTTTTGGTACAGAAGAGATGGCCACCTACCTGCGCTATGTGAGGAGGCTGGATTTCTTTGAGAAGCCGGATTACGATTACTTGAGGAAGCTCTTCACCGATCTGTTTGATAGGAATGGCTACGTCTTCGACTACGAATACGACTGGGTCGGCAAATCGCTCGTGAGTGCCTTTCACTGAACCCACCTGACCTCTGCTAGCATCATCAATCAGTTTATATTGTTGCTCTAACTGTAATTATTTCTTAATAACGCAAAGCTAATTATTTTTGCAAACCCGATTACCAAATTGCCAAAAGCGTCTCTCATCACGTGGGCATTAACATTATTTATTTTTGTTTGTTGTTTTTAAAAATTTCTCACTAAGGTTGTTTTGTTTGTGCTTTTGTTCGTTTGCCTTGCAGCCCACACCGATAGGCCCCATCCCCAGTGACACGCCCGTGCAGCCCAACAGCAGAGACAAAGCACAACAGCAGACCAAAAACCCGGTGAGGTTATCAGCAACAACATTAAGACACAACAATCACCACTCCCGCCTACCAATATAGTTGCTTGGGTGACCACCCAAACCAGTCAGGTTTATCCTCGAGGTCACTCTCGTTGTTTCCAAATGTAAGCAACTTCCTGTTCGCGTCTACAGTCTGACTGGTCGGCAGTGACGCCCGTCTCCCCACAAAGTCCGTAAAGTAAAAACAAAACGAATGCCTTTGTAGCAAATGAACGGGCACGTGCCGTTACGAGGCAGACTCTCCAGCTGTGAAACAAAGCATCGTTTTTGACTTGGATTAATTCTTCACACCTTGCCACGCTAAGCTCAGTCATTGCATGCATGAGTTGAAAATGCAAATTGCATTGTTCACACCAGTAATGACAAAGTACAGACGAGTGACAAATAAATGGAAAAAAAAAATCCAAACTTTAGGAAGGTGACGAGCTGCCAGGACACCACCTCTTGAACTCTCCGGAGGGTTTGAGCACAGCGCCGGCGGAGAGCACCGTCTTACAGCCAAGCTCAAAATGTGCCGTTGGTGTTCACCTGGGCTATCTCCTGACTTTTGGGGCCATAGCATATGATTCACACTATTTGCATAATCACCAAACCAATCGGTGACTATCCTGGAAGAGATCACTCCTGTCAGAACAGAAATGTGCAACCATTGGCTAAATGCAACCACTCAGCACAGCATTGTATCGATGAGCAGTCAAACATCCCTTTAGGCTCCTTCTCTCACCCCAGCTGCCCCCCCCCCCCCCCCCCCCCCGAGCCTGGTTCTGCTGGAGGTTTCTTCCTGTTAAAAGGGAGTTTTTCCTTCCCACTGTCGCCAAAGTGCTGCTCATAGGGGGTCATATGACTGTTGGGTTTTTCTCTGTATCTATTATTGCAGGATCTACCTTACAATATAAAGCACCTTAAGCTGTATAAATAAAATTGAATAGAATTGAAAAGTGGGCCCATACCAGGTGGGAGATGCCGGAGTCACCAGATCACCTCACTGTGGCAATCAGGGGTTCATGTTTTTCCTTTAATTTGTCATCCGTTTTTATTTGCTTAGTCTGTGACAAAGTGTAGACTTTTTGTTGTTAATAGCATGCTATCCGAGCCTTGTTTCTTTTGTTTTTATATAATGTTAATGATAGGATAATGATTGATTGGTTTTATTATGCCAAAAAAATCTATAAAATATAACCAGTGATAACAAATAATTTTCCTGATCATGAAGTTGTACTTGGTGAGTCTGACTCATCGGTTCCAGTAAAGCTGTACAAGGAATCCGTTTGACTTTATGATTGACTTGTTTCTGTGGACTCTAGCCTCTTTTTATTACTCTGTATTTAATGCGATTGGCTCGGCGATAACGTTCCACCTTTTAAGCTCGCAGCGCACGGCCTTCTGCACCATGTACAGTAATGACTGTAAAGCTTTAACATCCTGCTTAAAACAGCGTATCAATAGAAAGTGCTGGCTGTGAGCATCTGTAGCCAAATGTCATATTTGTACATATATTTTTTTAGGTCAGTGAAAGCAGAGTGTAAGAACTGCTGTACTGTAAACCCGAGTCCACAGCTAAGTTCAGAGAGTCTGATGACGTGATGACGCTGTTGCTCAGCGGTGCCAGCTGAGCCCATCAAGGCTGTTTTCTTTTACTCCTGCATGATTTTACTAGAGTGTCGATCTGTGCTTCACATAAATTTTTGCTTCCCTCTACTCCTCTATTAACATAGTTCGTCCTAACAAGCCTGCTTCTGCTTGGGAGATGTCTTCTATAATTTTTCTTTTTCTTTTCTTTTTTTTAATCCACCCCCCCTCCCCAACTCCTCTCATTGTCCTTCCACATTTCTGCCCTCACCCCCTTCAACCACATTGCCTTTCCCTCACTCTTCATTCCCTCACCCCCTGACCCATAACCCCCACAAACTTCTTCACCCCCCTCTCCCTTCTCACCACCTCACACCCACCTGCCTCAACCCTTTTTGCTCTTTGCGTCAAGTCGCCTGAGCCCAAAGGAAGTGAGTCTCAGCCCACTCCCGTGACCAATAAGGAGACTCTGGGGTCGCACCTCACAGCTGAGCGGCTGGGGGGCTCTGTTCAGGTACTGCTGCTGCTACAGCTGCTGCTTTGATGGCTCATGCATGAGGCCATATAGGTTTGTCTGTGTGTCTGACCCCCCCCTCCCCTCTCTCTCACTGACTTCACACTGCCTGCCCGTTAGATGCTCTGTCTCGACTCTGTGCTCGAATCAGACTGTGTGAATCCTGTGTGTCACTGCTGTCGGTCTGCTTCTAGGCTGCTTGCATCCAAGGCCATCCAAAGATGACATCCAGCAGTATCTTATAATAATAATATAATAGAAACACTAAAGGTCTATTTTTGTACATTTATTCTATAATAGTTCTTTGTGTTTTTGCTGTTTTCAGTGTGTAAACTGTGTCACCGGAAATAAGTCTCTGCAGAAAATGTGGTGCACAAGCGCCACCCAGTGTCGGCTAATAGAATTGCAGTATTTAGAGGATTGGTTCACGTTCTTGTCTTGCAATCTTATTCACATATCAAGTTTTCCTTGCAGTTTTCCTCTCTCTTGTTCAGCTGTCCATCAGCTGTTTTTTTTTTCAGTGTGTTTCAAACTGACTTTAGCAACAAGAAGAGATTTTGGAGTAAAAACAAAGGAAAGGATTTCTTACCAGCCTCAAAAAGCAGGAGAAATGATCACAGCGAGGAAAATCGTTTTCAATACTTGTTCGGTGCCTTATTTGTGTTTGAAGACAGAAATGAACAGTGTGAACCTGTCCTTTAAACTTTGTTGGCTTTAGCTGGCTCATCCTGGGTTACTTGCATAACTGTTTTCTTACCTGAGAGGGCGGATAACTTGTGATAGTCAAGGTGCATTTATTTGATCCTGTGAATGTTCATCAACTGGATTCAGTCTGGTGTCCTTCTCTAATGGTGCAGGTGATGAGCTCAACAAATGGCGAGCTGAACACTGATGATCCCACAGCCGGACACTCCAACGCTCCCATCACCGCTCCCACCGAGGTTGACGTACCTGATGAAACCAAGTATGGGGGGATCCTCACATTCACACACAGAAAACACATGCTTTTCTTTTTCAGTGCTGTCCAATAAGTCCAAATCCAAAATTGGTGCTGAAAAGCATCTAAATTGTTTTGTGTTCCTTGTTGTTAGCTCCTCCGTGTAGAAGCCTTTTGAGTACAGGCAGTGACTTAGTCACAGTAACAAGCTGCACTTTGTGCTACTTTAAATATTGTTTCCATGCTTCCTACTTCAGTTAAGTTAGGTTTGTTTACATAGGAACACAGCAGTGCATTTATATACACCGTTTTAACCTATTATAACTATATAAAGAAGAAATCAGATTTTCTCTCTGACGATCAAATATTGGAGCTATTACCTGCTGTAAATACGCCAGCGTCTGTTCTAAGCCTGACTAAAACATCAAGTATGAGTGTGTCACTGTCATATCTCTGTGTATGTTGAGCAGTAGCAGCTGAGGCACAGTAGGAATGTTATCAATGGGACTTAAAGTTCACCAGCAGGGAGGGGAACATTTTAACTGTTGCACATAAAGAATATAACTGTAAGTGTAGTGAAGCAGGTTAGACTTACTTTAAAACTCCTTTATTTACTGTGACTCAGCTTTGTGTCAGTAATTCATGAGACCACACTCAAAAAACAAAAGACTAGGCTGTTATATACATATTAGTTAAAAACAACACAACAGCCTCTTTTAATGCTCAGAAATGTTTAAATGAATATGGCTCGTTTAATTTAGAAGCAGTTACATCATCTTATCTTTCTGAAACATTCTTCATGTTGTCTTTTTTCTACGCGATTCACAGCCCACAACTTTGCTAGCTCTAGTTAAGCTTAAATAGGCGACCAGCTAGATTACCATCGTCATAGTTGAGCTATGCGAGTCTTTTTCATTTGCACCTACTCAGCTTGACTCGACTTTTTCTTACTGGGTTTTGGTCGTTTTCCGCTACAGTTGTGTACCACCCCAGTGTGGGTGGGGTTGCTGTAGCAAGGCGGCTCGACAGAGGGGAATGGAGTCTGTTGATGTCACATTTTTTGGCTCAACTCGGCTCATGTGGATGACGCTAAAAAAGCACCTGGTACCTGACGCTGCCGCCTAGTGGAAAACCCTAAAGACCGAGCGGAGTCGAGTGGATTAGGTGCCGTGGATGATCCTCAAAGATGATCCCCCAAAAGAAATATTTGTAGTTTCAAACATGAACAACTGAGTTATTAAAAGTCCACGACTTCCTTAATTCATTTATAACTATTATGAAGACAAATGATGAGATTACAGTAAGTGAAATGGTTAAAAGAAAGGAAGCCAGATTAGAACTGGCTGCTGAACCCCAACCCTCACAGGCCGTGCTATGTACCAGTATCTACATGTGTGTAAATACCTGCTTTTCTAAAGGAAGCCATGCCTCTGTGTTTGTGCAGGTGCTGTTGCTTCTTCAAAAGGAGAAAGAGGAAAGCGCTCCAGAGGCACAAGTGAAAGAAGAGAACAGAGAGAACTTGAAACATTGTGGTCACGGTCAAGTTTTAAATGGAAGCAACTACACAGACCCCCCCACCGCCCATTATCTCTCTCCAGCTACCCCCCCCCCCCCCCCCCACCACCTCCTTACTCCTTTCACCTCATTCCCCGCTGTCACATGTACCTCCCCGCTTGAGTTCTCTCTCTCTCTCTCTCGATCCCAGCGAGTGACAGGAACGTTGCAGTCACAGCGACTCCACAGACTTTCAATTCCTTTACAGATGAAAAATAAACAAACCTGCATCACCACGTGAGGGGGAGGGGCTCGAGAAAAACGTTTAAAGAAAACAAACAAAAAAAAGCTGTAACAATGAAACTCGAATACCGTGGCGTGAATATGAAAAAAGATGCTGTTTGAAACAGCTGTTGTATTCTAGATTCCATAAAGAACGTGTGTTGTTCGAACAGTCAGCTGTTGATCAGGGGAAACCATTCAAGTGGTTCGAGTGCAAGAAATCTGCTCCTTTATTAGGAAAATGTTAATTTTATTTTCTTTGGTGTGTCTTTTTTGGGATCAAGGTGAAAGAGGAAAAGGTGAACTATGCTGATGTTAAATCTGAGCGACACAGGAAGCGTTTCATCTATAAATCAGTCTGGAGGATTTTTATGCATTTTTTCTTCCTCTTTTTGTTTTTTGTTTCTTTTGTAAGTGAATCCTCAGTTTTCAAAGTCAAATCCCTGCATTGAAAACTTATTTTTATGTTGTAGTGTTCTGGAGTTCAATTCTTTCCTCACTCTGGCTTCCTTCTATTTTGTTTCGTCTGTCGACGCGGACTTTGTAGCACAGTCACTGGCCTCAGGTACTGTGGAAGAATGAGAGGAACCGATATTAAGCTCTCTTATTATTATTGCACTTTTTGGAGGAAAAAACAATTACAGTGGAAAACTTTAGGTTTGAAATTAACAATTAAGGAAACAACTTAATAAAGACTGATCTAGGAAGAGTCCTTCATGATGCTTATATTTGAGTTATGGCTGAAAAATGTTGTCGATTCTCATGAAAGAAAAGGACATGTCTTTTTTTGATTTTTATTTCTTACATCAAAAATAATTTACCAGGAAATCATAGTTTGTGCCTTTCTAAGTAAAATGTTTAAAGCTCAAGTGAGTGTCCCGCAATGACATTTTATCTAATCTGACCCTAATGCTCACTGGATTACTCTGTGTGTGTGTGTGCGCATGTGTGTTTGTATTTTTTTCCCAAATCTGGAGGTTTTGCAAGCAGATGACTGTGTGCACATCCTGTCAGTCACGTATAGGTCAGTATACATCCTTCTCTCTCCTGCTGTAACGCCACATCTGTACAGTGGTGGCGGTTTGGCGTGTGTGCTGTGCCACCTCAGCGAGACGCAACAACCCACATCTGTCTGACCCGCTGTTCACTTTCATCTGGAGGTCACAGATGGGCAGTGAGGTTAACTCGTTTAAAGGGTACACGAGGTCTGGGCTGCTGTTTTCGATCAAACTGTACTTGACAGAAAAAAATTACATTTTTTTTGTGTGCGTTTTATCATGTTTCCCATCAGCCCCTGTTTCATGTAGCCCTTTAATACCTTTTGTTCGTCTGACGTCCTGCTGCCTCAGTGTACATCGGTGCCAAACATTTCTCCAACAGCTTTGAAGATTATCAGAAAGATTTTCCTTTTAATTTTTACGTTGCATTTCCTGTAAAAGTGAGAGAGGAGGAGGGGAACAAGTTGAAATTCCTCTAGATTTGTGAAAACCCCCACAATGCATCTGTTCAGCAGCTTTCATTTTCTTCACAGCTCCAGCCCCTGCTGTAATCAGTGTAACCTGTTTTTGGTTTTGATGAGCCGTCTTGCTGTCACGAATCGGTGGCCTGCTCCTTTAAGGACACGATCGAGCCTTCCTACCGGTATGATTGTTGTCGCACAGGGCTGATCATGTGATTGATGACGAAGTGAAAGGCACGACACGTCACAGTTTCGGTTTACAAATGGTGATCTCGCTCATTAATGTGGGTGGTGTCAAAGAAGTTTACGGGATGCTGAAGATTTAATGTTTTCATTGAAACCAAACAACCTCGGGATGTATTTAAAGTCACGCGACACACTTGGATCGACCCCACAAGTCGAGCTTCTAATGAATTAATGTTTTACCTTCTCAGTTTAGTGATTTATTTTGAAAGGGGAGATAAATGTGTGTCTGAGCAGGTTTCGGAGACAAATGTGCTTAAATAACCCGCCAGGTGACGTCAGAGGAGCCAGCTGTCTTTAGTGTCGTCGTAAACGTGGCTTCATTAGACAGCGCGCGCGACAGCAACCCAAACAAAGGTGTGACTCGGGGTGATCAGGTGCGCTGATCCAAGACTCCCCCCTTTAGGCCCTGAAGTCACTCTTTGAAAAGTTGGGTGGGGACCTGGCTTTGCAAAATCACTGCGTTTATTAATTTTATAATTCAGGTTTTGTTTTGTTTTTCTGGAGAGGGCGGGGTCGACCGATGTAAATTCTGCTCTCCGTCTCTTAGTGTACCTACTTGCATTATGTATTTGTAAATATGACAACGACAGATCTCTAATTGTGAATAAAGCAAAGTTTTATCACAGGAGTCACCGTGGAGCAGTTTGTGTGCCTGCTGATCTTTGTTAGTCTGCAGGCGGGTTTGTTACCCGGCGGGACCGTGTGGGTTACTGGTTAACCTGCGATCACAGCGCAGTTAGGCAGGTGTGTGTGACAGCTGATTGGCCAAGAAGCTCAACGGAGTGTGCGTACCTCTGATTGGATACGGGCCACACCGGGACAGCGGGCGTCGGGCACGGTAAGAGGAAAACATGGCATCCGCTGGACGCATGACCGGCGGCTCTCGGTCATTTTGGGAGTGATCTCTATATTCTGCCACAAACATTATGCCAGTGATTATAATTAGTAATGATGGGTATATTCAGTACAGTACAGAGGTAATAACTTACATTAGGACATGTCCGAACATATTGGTAATGGAAGCATCATAATAGCCTCATGGTAATAATTAAATATCCTATATATATAGAACTTCTTTTAAAAAGTTTCTTAAGGTACATTTTTCAGTTGGTTTGATATTTAAAAAAACATTTAAAGGACTTTGCGCGTTTGTGTTTCAAGAACAGACTCCTCGGTGGGCCCATGTCCTCTATTTCCTTCCTTCCTTCATCATCATCATCATGTTTTCGGAGGAACTTCAGCTCAAATGATCGGTTGCTCACAGCATGTAAGATCAAACTGATTTAAAAGCATAAATGTAAAACCAAAAACATAATTTTTAAGTAAATGGAAAGAGAGACACCTGCTGTTACCAAACTACAGGTCACCTTTTGTTTGAGCTTTTTTATGGGGCGCCGTTTGTAAAGTGAAACATGCTGAAATTAACGGCAACATTTTTCCACATTTAGCTCAAAACCTTACAAAAACATGTTTTTTTTTCCGAGTAATTGTTTTTTACAACATTTAGTAAAATATTTGTAACTTTTCATCAAATGTTAAATCTAAATGTTAAATCTAAATGTTAAATCTAAATGTTAAATCTAAATCTAAATGTTAAATCTAAATGCTAAATCTAAATGTTAAATGTTAAATGTTAAATCTAAATGTTAAATCTAAATCTAAATGTTAAATCTAAATGCTAAATGTTAAATCTAAATGTTTAGGCTAATATGCAAATTTATTGTACTGATCAACGGAAATACCAAAATAAAAGCTTCCCGAAAACCTCCGGTGCAAAATTGTGTCTGTTCTCCTCACTTCTCCCCGCCATGTGCTGCTTCACTTCTTGCCTACGAGCGTGCTGCAGCGATTGTGAAGTGAAGACTGCAGCTACTAAGAGTGCACTACTGCTGAACCTTTGGATGGCCGACAAAACGGATCTTCCGATGTTTTCAGCTAAATCGCCGGACGTGCTTTCTCATGGTCGGGTTATGGCTGAATTCCAGTGGAATGACGGTCCCGCCATAATAGACGTTCCAGCCATGTGTTCCAGCCCTAAACCTAACCTTATCTAACTATAACCTTATTCCTAACCTTTACTAGCAGTTAAATGACGTAAAATAGTGTTTTCCAAATCGATCTTTAGAAAATGAACGAACGTGTAGATTGAGTCCAAACGGTTCTCATGTGCTCTCCTTTTTCCGTTACCGTAATTTAGGAACGTGTTGGGTACCCGAAAGCATAAAATGTTGACAATTTGTCACCTAGCGAAAATTATTACGCTTTGGGAGTGAGAACGTGTCTGACCACTACAGGCACACTTTTGCACCGGAGGTTTTCGGAAACTTTTATTTTGGTATTTCCGCTGATCCGTGCAATAAATTTGCATGTTAGCCTAAACATTTAGATTTAACATTTAGATTTAGATTTAAATATAATATTTAGATTTAACATTTAGATTTAAATCTAAATATTTAGATTTAACATTTAGATTTAGATTTAACATTTAACATTTAGATTTAACATTTAACATTTAGATTTAAATCTAAATATTTAGATTTAACATTTAGCATTTAGATTTAACATTTAGATTTAAATATAATATTTATATTTAACATTTAAAATTCTGTTTTAAATATGAAAAGTTACAAATATTTTACTAAATGTTGTAAAAAATGACTTGTTTTGAGCTAAATGTGGAAAAATGTTGCCGTTAATTTCAGCATGTTTCACTTTACAAACGGCGCCCCATACTTTTTAAGCTGTGCTTAAAAGTCACTTTATTATCGGTTATATCACTTCGAAGCATTTATGACTCCGATGATAAAAACAACTTTAGGTTTCCTTCCTGCTATAGCGGCTTTCTCTCCTGTTAAATACGGATATAAATGTCGGTTTACATAAATACATCTTAAGAATTTCCCCCCAAAAAAACATTCATCGGTGTGAAGTTTAAAATCAGTCCCTTTCAAAACGTCCTGTGAGCCAGTTTAGTAAAAGGTGGTGACTCAGGTAATGTTATATATGGGACTAATAAATCATTAGAAACACGATTTTTCATAAGCAGTTTTATATTTAAAGTGCTCAAATAAATGTATTTGCCAAACTACTGAACTAAACTGATGTTGTTGAGTTATCTCTGACTGTGGTCTTGGTATTTTTGGTATTTTTTTCCACTTGAATCTGAAAACATGATGAGGTCAGCTCTAGTCAGATTCCTTCCATGCCTCCCCTTTTCCTTCTGTGCTTCCTGAGTCTCCTCCTTAGCTTTAAAGAAATATCAGGCCTGTGCAAAAACACAAAACATATGGAAAAGTGTTCGCTGCAGGTTGCCAAATATCAAACGCACCCAGAACAGAGCAAATGGAGCTGCATATCTCAGTGGATGCTGGGGCCTGGACTTCCAGGCTGTGCACAATGTGGATCCCCTCCATCACAGACCTCTCTTTGTTCAAGGCAAGAAAGGAAATACCCGAGAGGTTTCAACACCTCTGGCAAAATCAGAAATTTCATCTGAGCTGTCTCTTTCACAGAAACTGGTTCTCATAATAGGTGCCGGGGTATTGTTCTCTTCGATCTTCCACATGGGCACAAAACAGGCTGGCTCAGCCGCACAGGGACGATCACCTGATCTTGACTGCACCGTCACAGGAAGCTGTAGTTCACTCTTGGTTCACTGAGCCACCCTTTTACCAGGTGGAGCTTGATTCTGTGCTTTTGGCTCATTCAGAAAGTTTCTAATAGGAAAATCTCTTGTGATGCCACAACACAGGTGTACACTGACACTGCCAAAGGTGCTGGGTTCAAATGTCTTGACTGTCTTTCTGTGTGGCATCAATTGGTGATAATAAATTGACACTAGGTGTGTATGTGAAATCTGAAATCTCTTATTGTTAGGTTTGTGATGAGCTGGCAGCCTGTCCAAGGCTCGCTCAGCTTGCTGCCCTGTGTTTGATGCTGTGGATGAGTCGGGTCAGCCTCTGAATTCTCACCACCTTCAAATAAAATAGTAGTTCAGTAAATTTAACTTCTAAGTTTAACACACTTGTATAAAAACACCAATGCACCACAGTTTGCGCTGAATGCTATCTCGGAGCATCTACGCCACCAGAGAAAGGTTCAAGGTTCAACTTGAATGCACACAGAAATTAACGCTTTCACATTCAGGCTCATTTCTTCTGTCTG